AGTGAACTAACAGTCACTACTATCGACAACAGTCTTTAGGAATCCGCTCACCCGGACGACCAGACTCAAACCATTTACTGTGTCCCCAATCTTACACGAAATTGTTGAGAAATTTTGCCCTGTTACAGCAACAATTCTCCCACGCAAAGTAATGTAATAGCCTTATTTCACCTACTCCACTCTCCCCTCCCATCAAAGTTACTGAGCTCAAAAAGTGGTCTAGTTCTTGGTATGGAAACGCACAACTGCAACAATGGATGATGTTAAGAGTTCAGAGAAGGCACAAGGTTCCAAAATTCCTTTGTAGCGGGGCTCCCACGCGCGCGAAAGCCCCGTACCCATGGAATATGGTCAACCTCTTTCCGTTTGGTTGTCACGTGACTGACCGAGCGTAGGTACGTAGGTGCCTTCAGATTGCACGGGTGGGGTAGGGGAGACTATTAAAACGAAGGGAAGGGTGTCTCAGGCAAGTCTTGGCAAATGCAAATCTTTTATATTATCATTAATATTACGAACTTGGGAGCTCCGCTTTTAGGCTTGGCTAAATCTATATATCACCTCATTTCAGCTAACACCAAAGTTAACTGTTTTCAGGGCGACTATCTCACCTGCAGATGTGGATTTCCCTTGCCAACGCTACCAGTATCGGATTTATTGCCCGTTACGCTGGTTCCTGAGTGCAAACACTCCACCATCTGTCTACGTAACGACGGATCCAAATGCACGGTGCACGGCAGGAAACGCCTTACGTCAGAAGTGCTCAGAAGCGGATGATGACTGGCGAGGAAAGTTTCAAAATACACGGGGTCTCCATCCACTGCACAATCCACTTCATTGATAACTGGCATGGCGGACAGTGTCGCCTCGTAAAGATCCTTCAACGCTACATTGTCCTGCAAACGGGTGTTGCTGTCCTCGATTAAAAGAACAAGCCAGGATGTTCGATACGGCCATCCGTCTACTACACTGACCCAGGCTGCAAGACGCTTCCATGAGTATTCAATACCGCGTGCACGGAGCAGACGACATGTTAAAGAGACGATATTCATGAGGCGTTTCACGCCCAGAGGATTTACAGTCTCGTTATCAGCAAGCACTTGCGCAAGGTCAGTTGAAATGCGGCGGCGCTCTTCGAGCTCCAACTCGTGGTCCAGTAGCTTCTGATGATCCAAACAGCGCTCTTCCTCGTGACCCTCTGGCTCGTAAAGCATGGAGTGATGCAGCTCTAGCTCGGGATGGACCCGACTCGGCACCCCGCCATTACAATTATGCAAGTCCCGTGATAGTCTATGTCCCTGAGGGAGACAATTATCGCCCTCGTTTAATTCCAACATCTCTCCGTCCCACTCCAGATCGTCCACTGCCACACTGGAACGCACCATGCTGGAGCGCTCCGCTAAAGCTGGGTTGTCAGTCTGAAGCTCACCTCTCAGTTCTTCAAGTAGGGTGACAACCCCTGTGGACAACACCCCGGTGTAATTAGACTTGGGTTCAGGAAGGTAGAAAGGAAGTTGTACTATACTCTTTAAATAATCCGACGCGCTGATATGAGACTCGCGCATAATACTACTAAAGCTTTGATCAATTGCCCGGATGATGACCCGGGGATCCAACGCCATTAATATAATGAAAGGTGCTTCGGGATCAGTGAATAGCAAGTTTACAGAGTCCAGTAGCTGTAACACTTTCGACTGCTCCGAGTTATCCAGTCCGTCAATTACAATCACAACTCTTGTCTGATGCCTGGTGAATCCATCCACGCAGTTTACCAAGTCTGTCAAGAGCTCAACCTCTTGTTTCAGAGCGTGAATGAATCCCTCCTCTTTCAAACCAAGTTGTGTAGCTACCACGGAAATTCGCTTTTTCTGCGAGAAAACTAACGAGTACAAGATTGAACACAGCGTGGGTAGGTGAATCAACACCGCCACGCCTACGATCGAAGCAGATGCGATTTCTATGCCAGTTATAACAGAACTGCCCTTGGTCCCGTATAATTTGAAAAACACAACACCGATCATTCCAAGCGCGAGAATCGCAAGAAATATCGTGAACGTTGGTATGCAACAACAACAGCGTTTCCACCGCGCCTCTGTCATTGTCGACTCATCATAATCAGAAGGCTGGGACCGAAACACTCTGTACAACCTCGTCACGAAAAAACCGAACTCTTTCTCGACAACGTCACAAAGCGTTTCAATCATTCCGACCAACGAGGCCGCTTCGCTTCCGCTGCAAGTCAATTTACTAAAGTCTGTAAAGAGGAAGCGAACTGGCATATTCGGCTTCGTGGCGCTCGGGCACGGAGGAATACAAAATACCAGTTGGCTCAAGAGTTTTACGGTACCCACTGCCTTGGTCACGTAGCCGCCTATGCCGCAGGATGGTTCCCCGCGGTTGTAGCGTCTATCTGCCACATACGCGCATAAAAACAGCAGATAACATGTCACGAAAATTCCGACTCCTACGGCAACTCCAGCGGCAAGACTTGTACTTGCTGCGAGGAGAACACCAATCACTGCGCAGAAGACCAGAAGAATTACAAATACGAAGCGAGAAAAGTGAAACATTGGACGAAGATCTTGATGAGCAAACTCGCGCATCTCATCTGAAACAAACGAAACAGACACATGGCGTTGGACACTGCAGAAAACAAAGGCTGATAACAAGCTAGAGTTATTAGGCTAGGGGAGGGATGGGTGCAGGGTTAACGAGAGCTGCTACCAACTGAGGTGCAAGACCGCATGCTGGCAGCTAGGAAAAGTTTAGCGGGTCTTTTCTCCTCCTTAAAGCATCTGATCACATTTACACAAGGCGTTAGAAGTAGAATTGAGAATTAGATGCTGGCCCGAGTGTTTCAAAGATTCTTGATGGAAGAAAGAACCCAAACGAAAAAGAACAAAAATAGCATTCCGTTATTAAATCAGAAAACTATATAGGTTAATTTTTACCTTGCAACCTCCGGAAAACAAACGACTTGCCGCTCCCCCAGCGCGCATACATTCCAACAGTCAGTGGCGTGGTGAGGGAAGGCTCGCACAACACGTCCGCTAGGGCACTGGTGTAGACCTCATAACCCATTACTTCCTCACTGTATTTTTTACCCGGAGTGAACAGACCTATAAAACATCAGATCACAGAATATCAAAGACAACTTTCTTTCATAATTAGCAGACAGTCATGTCTTATTGTTTTCTTCAAGCAAGATGTTCTTCGTCACGTTCCGATTTTATAGGTACAAAGAAAACTTCTAGTACCCGGCGTGAGGGATCGAGCCGCGGACATTCGGATTCCACGGTCTAATGCTCGACTATAAAGCTACAGACAACTCTAAATTTAATGGAGCCATAAAGTACTGTATCAACGATGTTCGATTCTGCGTAAATGAGACAACTTGGAACAAACTCTGGTTTTTCTCTCCCTTGAAATTCGTTAATAAAGACTTACGAAGATGCACCATAGTTCAAATGTGAAAATGGATAATTTAATTTAAATTGGCCCAAGATTGCAACTTCCAATCGAAGTAGGAGTCAAAGGAATGAAATGCTGACTAGCAGAGTAAAAACAAATTCAAGAGGATGTAATGAGCTAACCAACTCGAGAAGTAATGGAGAGGGTTAACTTAATCATATTGGAGTATAATTGCCAAAAATTAAACTTGCGAATTGTTTACTCAAATCTGTCTTGTGGGAAAGATATAACTTTCGCAGGAGCTTTGGTAATTATACGACTCCTAACATATACTCCACTTTCATTCGTGAAAAAACTGAACAGTTGATTTCAAGATGAAATCCTTTAGCCACATTCAACATGCCGAAACATCGCAATATTCGCAGTTGATGGTTGTGACGCGAAAAACTAACTTGAACACGAAGAAAACCACAAAATACTGGTTTGGTTAGAAATAAGAACAACAAAATGAAACAAATAAACCAAAAATAAATAAGAAAGGCGGGAGATGAAGGAGATTGACCAGGATTACAAAATGGACGACTTGATAAGAAAATATTTTAAAGCAAATAGACGTCCAACGGAAACCTTACCAGTTCCGAAGATTTGTGTCAGCACACTATGTTTGTGCTGTCGGTCGATATTATACGGTGTTTCTCCGGATTTATTCGGCCGATATAGAAGCCGAGCATCCTTCGGGTTCCTTAACAGAAGTTCGCATATGCGTCGGTATCTTCCTCTGACGGCAATATGAACTGGGGTATCTCCTCGCTAAGATAAATAAAGCCGAGTTAAAACGGGGTCAAGTGAGGCGTTCGAGAGACGAGCTTTCATCAAATGATTGTTTTTAAAAACAACATTACGTATTTTAATTCGCGCTGAAGTGAAGGTCTCAGAGGTTAAAAAAGGGTTTGTTTACAGAAGCCTCACGTACTATTACATCACTACCCAGATCTGCAAATCCACTATACCTGATTTTTGAATTTCATTCTACGCTGTGTTACTAGTAAATCCATATGGAACAGATCAGATTTGAACGTCACGGTTGCATGGAGGAACACACTTCAGTTGATAACACTTTGTACTCTCGTCACCTGCTTTCCGGAAAATGTGTTGGAATGCTGAAGAAATTACATGCTGACCGCCTCTCGGTGTAACGTTTTTCGAAAAGGAGAAAAGGACATAAGCACCACATACCTTATCTGCTACCGAGACACTGGCTCCTTTTTCCAGCAAGAGAGAAACAATTGCAGTGTGCTTTTTTTGTGTGGCTCTGATGAGTGGCGTTTCTCCGTCCTGCGACAAGACAGTTCAAGCGAAGGTTAATAATACTTACGAAACGCATTACGTTATTTTCTTGTCATTTATCTTCGAAAGCGCGAGGAAAACTTCAAATCACGGTCTAGTAACTGAATATAATCTGCTACAACATGTGTTTGTTCTAAAATCTATCTTGATACCGGGTATGAGTGGCGAGAAAACAAAATGATAACACTCGATTTAAAACGCGACTTAAAGCCTCTTTACCTGTGAAAAGAACAACAAACAAACAAGAATTTGTGTTGACTCCAAAAGAAGATTTCTTCACGGCAAGTCAAGTATACAATAAGGAAACAGAGGGTGGCCGCCATTATGAATTCCACAAGTGAAAATGCATTAAAGTATAATACAAACCTTGTTCTGAGTTTCTGTGTTCGCTCCAGCATCTAAGAGCTCTTTCACAATTAAAGTGTGGCCTTTCTCAACTGCATGAAACAAAGCTGTCTTGCTTTCCTGACAAGAGAATCAATTCACTTTTTATTTACAAACACCGTTCATTGAAAGAACACAAAGGCATTCAGTTCAACAACAGCTCTCGTTTACGGATGGCGGGATATCTAAAAATAGGCTCTATTAAAAGGGTCCACAGGACAGCGCAGACAACATAACATTGTCGTTTACCATTTCTCAATGCGGCAAAGAGCTTGACCGGAAAATGCCGCGCGCGTACTTGAAGAGATTTAGTCCTGCATCCAGGCTCTCTCAGGAGGTTCAGCTGCAGTTAGTCTGTTATAAGAGATCTGCACTTGAAACGTAAACGCTTACACATTGGACAAACATGCAAACTATTGTATACCAGCACATTATCGTACATCTCAGACCACTATCATTCAAACGCTGTCAAAACAATGCCTGATTATCAGTTTGAATTAAAAAATCTTCGCCTCCCGTCGTCAAAGCCCATTCTATTTGAACAGCAATGCCAATATTTTCATGCTGGCTCTTCTATCCAGCATGTAAACAGCATGTACCAATCTCCGAAAGGTTTCTTCGTTCGACAATGCGATGTCGGACGCGACTATCAAAGACAGCGTCTGTGCCAAGTACATCATACAATACGATAAATCTTGACACGGAGTCACACGAAGGCAAAATCTGTTTTCTTTTAAAAGCGGATCAAGCCATCAAAACTAACACGCGAAATCATTTTTTAACAAACCTTCCAGAGTCAGACCTCTTGAGGTCTTTCCGGTGACGGTGTCGCTTAGACCACAGAGCTTTCTTGCATCAAGAGTCAGGAATGTTAACGACTCGACTATTGTGCAAATTACCAGCTTTTGCATTAATCTTAATTTAAAGGCCAAGCTGTACCTTGAGTATTCAAAAAGTTTACAACTTGCAGTTCAATTGTTTCGTTATCAAAGCCGTTTGTTGAATTAAAAATGTCATCATCAGTGGCTCACGTCACGAAATTTTCCCGATTAAAACATTTTACACTTTCACGTATAATTTTTGAAATATTTGGTTTAGTCAGTCAAAACTAAGACTACTTATTCTCTTAATTACTTTTTTAAAGTAGATCTAAAACAATCAAGTACTTTTAGAGCGACGCCATGATGTCTTAGAAATAAGATATTACATTGGAAAAAAAGGAAGAAAGAAAAACTTCAGAACAGGCTTAAACTTAACAATAACAACAGATCACGCCACAAGTTGGGATACATGCTCTGCTCCAGACGAAAACTCAACTGAATGGTGACAAAGGAAGCATTTAAAACATGGCAATGAAAGCATGTAGCTTTTCGCGCAAGTTTCCGGACGGACTGCATCGGCCTGTAGTGTATTAGAAACCACTGATATGTAGAGCTGTAATTCCTGAGTTGTTTGCATTTTCATCGCATACTTGTTAAAACACTTAAGAAAAAAATTCGAGCATGAAAGTGATATGTTGAATAAGAGGTGCAAGTTCTAAAGAGCTGTTGATGTGTCCCCCCTGTAATATAATGACGTTGTAAATCGAAAGTTAGGACCAGAAGACTGACCTTTGAAAGTCTGTGCGTCTGAAAACGATATTCGAAGGGACGAGACATGAAACAGCTGCCAGCCAAAATAGCTGATGAAAAATCTACGATGCACAGCAAGACTACTTGAGTTGAACGAGAAGTGAGCGGCATTTATCATCAACAAAACATTCCCTGTGTCAGCACGACACGAGCTTACAACGATTTGATTAAGCAAACAAATTCTATAGAATTCGCACAATGATGTTTTTCCTAACACCAGGAGGTAGAAATAAAGTGTTTTAGTAAATAAATGTTAGATTCTGTTCGTTTGCTTTTGTTCTTAAGCGCTGATACCTCAGAACACCTAAACAGAAACTGCAAGGTTTATTCAAAACGACTCCATTGTCGCAACTGGGCTTCGAAGAAGACAGTAACAACATCGCCAACACGGCGTTCAAAACTGTCATTTTAAAAAACTCACAGTGTCCGCAGCCTCCACATCTGCATATTTGCTTAACAATGTCCGCACAACCTCTAAGTGGCCGTCCCTTGCTGCAGAGATTAATACAGTTTCACCTTCCTGAAACCAAACCAAAATCTTTCTGTTAAACTTCTTGCGCAACACTGAAGTCACAGACTATTAAGGGCGTTTCGCTCACAGTTAACGTGATATTATAGCTACTTGAATTCATCCAATTTACCACAACTATTCACATTTCATTCTATAGCAGTTCTTAAATTCCATGGAAACACCCAAAGCGTTACTGAATTTGCCAAAGAAGTGCCTTTTCTTCAATGGAAGGCGTTTCAAAAACTGCGGTCTGCAGACTCAAGCGAAGATAAATATGAGAAACGTGAAACTATTTGAAGGTACTTACCATTGAGCGAAAACAAAATCCTAAGAATTCCCTTTTCAAAATCAAAACTCGTAATGAAACGGCCTAAATCGTCAACAGAAACCACACGAACAAAAAGCTTAAAGGCAGAATTTGGCTGAGTTATCTATCGACCCCAATGAATATCATTTCAGATTATCATCAGATAAAACTCTGTCGTTTAAACTTGGAAACATCTGTCCCTGGTTCGATTCGAAAGCTTTAACCTTCCATTCAGCGTCTTCAACCTCATTCATCCGGTTCACTGTACTTTGAAACCGTAAGAATAAGCACAGAAAATCGGTAACAGACAATTGTGAGCCGTGAATTGAAAGTTCCGGGCAATTACATTTTACAAATTACGCCCACTTCAAGATGGCGACGCAAAAGCCACCTATAATGAAACCGATTAAATGCACTCTTAAGGAAATTACTAATTGAATCGAAGCCAAATCTAACCACAAGCTCGCCAAACACTTATAACGTTTTTTTACTTGACTTGATAAAGAGACACTCTACCAATCTGGGAGGACAAACCACTTTAAAACGAAATGGCTGCTCGAAAGCATTTTTCATAATTTTCAACACCAAAAAATTAAAGGGGCGTAAGAGAAAATTGTTTTCTTCCGGTCGAAAAACGCCCCGAGCAATTAACGATGAACAACACACTTTTTTAAAATGATTCGATAGACTACAATTATTTTAGTACTAGCCTCTCTCAAGTTCGAGAATACGTAATCCTAATTAAGGCCGAGGGAAAAAATTCTATGGGAATAAACTTCACCTCTCCTTTTCGTTTTGTCCTACAGTTAGACTCCATGTGCAAATATGTGGAATAATCTGTGCGTGAAGCACGCGCATTACAAAATTTCTCCTGCAGAAATTTACGCAGAAAGCAATAAAAACCTTCTCCGTACTGTAAAAAAGGATATGTCGTGGGTTTTAGTCGTTCCCATCGAAACGTGGCTCGACTGATTGTCAAAAACTAAAGAAATCACAACCGCCAATCAGGACAAAGACGTGCAACAAAAGGACCCAATCAGAATTCAAAGCACAGCCTCAAGCGCGGGAAAACGCGGGAACACAAGTCGCGATTGGTTTTAGTTCTGCATCTGACTGGTGGAGAGAATGGCTCGAATTTTCTGAATCAAGCACGGATCAAAGAGAAGCGAGTCAGTGCGATATCTCTCAAAAATGATTCAAAAGAGGATCACTTACTTTATCTGGTAAGTTAAAGTACGCCCCTCTTGCCAAAAGTCGTTGGACGATCTCCTCATGTCCATGTTTGGCTGACCAACTTAACGCAGAATTCCCTTCCTATTTTTTCAAATCAGGTAGACAAACATGGTCAACTTAAAATGATCTTTTAACTGCTAATCCAACTCGTTCTAATTTAGTGATGTAAAAATAGGGTCATTTTTGGGTATGCACAAAAAGAGATGAATAAACTGCGGTGTCTCACAAACTGTATCATAAAGAGGGTAAGTTTCTAAAGAAACTGTGGTGCTGCGTTGGTGGGGCACTATAACAAGACAATTTGGTTTTCATCAACTGAGTTGATAATGTGAACTGGCCACCGTAAAGAGTTTAAAAGCTGACGTTTCGAGCGTTACACGTTAGCCTTTCGACAGAGCCCTTCGTCAGAGCGAATAACAATCCAAACGTCAGGCTTTTATATTCTTAACTTTACGGTGGCCAATTCACAAAATCAACTCAGTTGATAAAACCAAATTAAACTGTTTTATACCTGATCTGTTGCGTTTATATGTGGTTCCTTTTCCAGAAGACAATCCACCACTTCTGTGTAACCACCTTTTGCCGCCATTATTAACGGAGTCCAACCTCTCTGAAATAACCCGAACAAAATTGTCTCACGATAGGTTTCTTCTTAGAGCCTCAAAGCTAAAATCGCCGTAGTTCAAAATCTACGCCCAAATAAATTTGTGAGTACGCCTCAACTTAAGTACAATAAATAATATTAATTATGAGCTTGGTGCATGCTGCGACTGCAGAGAAATGCAAAACAAATACACACTTGCAGCTGATTGGTTCAAGAGGGAGTGCTGCATAGCAACAGTATCCATGGTAATACTAAGTTACTTACACTACTAGCGGTGTCGACGTTCGCGTTTTTTGCTACAAGACTTCTACACGTTCCTAAGTGTCCTTTTCTGCAGCTCCATACAAGAGCGGTAGTCCCATACTGAAACAAGCAAAACAAACTATTTTGGTCAGAAGAATAACGGCTATGCCATTGACATAACTTCAATATTTAAACAATTGAGTGTTTTTGTCGAGGAACTATCGGCTGATAGTTGCCCCGCGGAAATTTGATGTTCTTAAAACAATATATTTGCCCGAGAAGCGATGCTTCGAGGGCAAATATGTCAATAATACGGAACCGTACACTGACTAAATAATACGTTATACCTGTCGGAATTGAAAAGTCACTGTTTTTCCGATCTGCCTAACTTCGCGGCCGTTGAACCATTCAAAATTTTTCACGGATGAGTACTATCCATCCGGGTATTTTCCGCAGACGGGAACTATGGGCTGATAGTGTCTCTCCACGGATGAACACTATCGCGTTACGTGATCAATTTAACCCAATAAGAATCGGAGAAAATTTAGTGGTGAACTACAAGCGTTGTTAATTTCAGCTACTAGGCTTTTGGAAAACCTACCATTTAATTACAGTGATACAATAATAAAAGTCCACATCCAGGGACCCGGCCTACACTGGAGATATTCAGGGAAAAAAAGCAGTGCTGAAACAATTTTACAGGCGACGAGGATACATAAAACTTTTCATAATTCATTTAGATCCACGCGCGTTTAACACGCCAGAGCCATCTGCACATACGTGTCACGCACCTTGTCAGCAGCGTCGGGATTGGCTCCAGCTTCCAGCAAATGATCAACAACCTCAGTGTGTCCCCGTCCAGACGCCCATATAAGGGCTGTCATACCATGCTGAGGAGAAAAGAGCAAAACATCTGTCACGCTAGGCCTTCACATGATCGAATACAGTCGTAGTTGACCAGTCAAAAGCAGCCTCGCTTGGGCGATCTTTGGAACCGAGTACAGCGCTACTTGAATGAACGCCAAAAGAATCTAAACTTTCGTGACCCCCGCTTGTTTAATGTTTCTCAAAATATATCGAGGTATTGTCTCAGAGGAAACAAATGTTTTCTTGGATCGACTACGATCGCCATTAAATGCCTTCAAACGAGGTTAGTAGTAAGATTAAACGAAAGTCAAGACTGTTGCACGTTCTGGTAAAGAAGACATTCGTAACTACAGTACATTGGGACTAATTTTCGTCCGTGTTTCACTTGAAGTTTCCCGGTTTAGCCGGACTAAGTTGATTTCTAGAATATTATTTAATTTCCCTTCTAAACAATAGTAGAAAAGGTTGAAATCTTCAGCGGTCTTGAAATACTGACTGATGTTAGAAAACGTCAATCCGAGTCACACACATAATTCAGGTTCCGTGCCGAACACAACTTAAAAGCCATTAGATGATGACAGAAAGCACACATATGATAACAACACAGAGCATTCACTTCGCGTGTCAAAAATTACGCCGTTGTCTTCAATTAAATTATCCTCTATTTATGTTTATAGGATATTTGTACTTTTTGTATCAGTTGCTAACCAGTGAACTATCAGAGATGACCAAAAAGACATTCTTACATTTCCAAGCGATTGAGGAAAATGACCCGTTCTAATTCCGAGCTGAGTCAAGGAAATGACAGAAAAAATGTTCACTAACGTGTATCAAATTCAAGCGAATTACGAAATAACTCGCGAACACTTGCAGTGAGTATTGAAAGAAATAGTTTTGTGGGAGCCACGAATTCGAAGGCTTTGAAGCTGTTGAGACGAAACGTAAAGGTCCATTTAAAAATATGCTGAAATTTTTCTTAGAATTTCGCGAATAGCTCAACGTCTTTACCTTCTCTAACGGCACCAGACCTTGAACTTCCAAATAAAAGAAGGAAACGTTGAGTAAAAGGAAGAAAACCAAATAATCTACCATCAGTGTTTCCGCTATTGGACTGCGCAAAATCTTTTGATTTTACTTTGTCGTTTTGTAGAGGACAGCTGAGAATTGCACGAAACCTCACAACGCACGTGCAAAGTCATTAAATGTTTTCATTCACAACGGTCTCTCTGCCGTCGCCTTCGTCCCCAATAATTTCAATTTGAATGCCGAAAGCACCAATACATTGTCGGAGAAACATAACACAAACAGTTTGCAAATTAACAACATGACCTTCGGCCATTGCTCTTAACTAACTAAACAACATCTTCCATTTGGCGCGAAAACATGCTCGGGTCTAACTGTTCCGTGAAAGTGACCAGATTATGTTCGAGAGGAAAATCATCAGATATACCACATAGTTTAATCCAATCTCGAGTGAGCAAAAACATTTCATGGATGATAATGGAAAATATTCCAAGTAGAGACAGTATATAGGCTAACGATTTCCGCAGGATCCTATTGAAACAAATCGTCTACTTTGATAACCTCACTACCGCTTTTTTCTACATCATTATTATAGTTCATTTTAAGTTAATCTAACAATCTTCGAAGTTTCTGTTAATAACACCTATTTTCATTTTGATTGGTACACTGAAGTGAGAATCTACAGCAAAAGTGCTTCTTTAGATATCCATTATCCCGATTCTAGGACCGAAGATAAAAACGTACTACTCGAGATTTTCACGTGATTGAAAATCCTCATATGGAGATCCACAGAAAATGTAAGGTCACCTATACCACGTTGCTACCGCAAAACCGCGACGACTAATAAGAAGCCATAGCCATGTTCTACGCCTACACAACGATTTAAACTGCTTTTCAAACTAGTCCCGAAAATTTTAGGGCACACTAAGAAAAATTGGTCATTCCCGCACCACACACTTTGAAGCGTGAACGTAAGAGGCGAAAAGAGATGTACACATCATTAAAAGATTAAATTTGAATAAATTGTCATAGGCATAAAACACGTAATTAAAAACAAAGTGGAGGAGCTTAGCTATATTCGTCAGAAAGGTTGTGCAACACAGTACAATCACCTCAGTGTTAAAGAAAATCGATCCATTTGATGTCACTGGATAAAACTAAACCTAATTATAGACACTAATCTGAGAACATATTAGATTGCTTTAGGATATTTGGAGGATAATAATTTCTTTACAGACTTCCGTCTTTGTTTATAGAAAAGTGTCCACCAAAATACGTTAGATATTCCGCAAGGTTTAACAACAGCATCTACTGCAAGTGAAACACACCGACAAGATATTTCCTCTTTCGCTTACTTGTACATATGTTTGCCAATTCTTTACAAACGCCGTTTCTTTCTACTCAAGTTTGAAAAGTAGAATAGAAAGAACCCAATCAAGAGTAAATGGTGCACATATTACACCAAAACCACATATAAATTAAACATATTTTCATGCTTGTGAATACCATCAGTTATAATACACACATACCACGGACCGTCAAATTTTTAACGCAAACCAGACAAAAAAATTAAGGATACTCATTTTGGGCGCAATAACCCATCTTTATGGATATCAAGTTTCTTAAAATACGAGTCATTAAGGCACTGAAAAAAACCTATCCTCTACTAAGCTGTGTCTTATTTTTTTCGCGGATACATAGTGCACAGTTTTGTAGCTTCGTTTTAAAAAACAATAAACGAGACATAGCTGGTTAAAATATAAAAATGAAATAAAATAAACGCACTCAAGTTAATGAGACGAGATAAAAATTACAAAAGTCGCTTTCACCAGAACTTACAATAAGGAAAATAAGGATGAAATCTTTAAAAGAAAATTAAATACAGCACTCTTCGATGTAAACAAAACGGAGAACATACACCAGAGATCCTTTGGAAATGAAAACAAGATTTAAGAGAGACAAAACGTCGTATCAGGGAAAAGAAATCAGGAAATGTTTTCTTTCGTTAGCATGCATGAGCTATGAATTCGATAATTTAAAGCGCAATTCTAAAAATAATAATCTCAAAAACGCTGCTATGAAAATTGTTACAAGCAACACTGTCAAAAAATAAATTCGCTCTGGTGTTGGGTTACATTATTCATGCGGTGGTAACTTCAGGATTAAGAACTTCTTGGAAAGAAGTCACTTTTCCTCAGTTCCTTATAAAAAAAGATCAATTTCTTTCTACAATAATACTTGTCCTACAAGCTCGTACGATAAAGCATAGTGTAAGGTGCTAATGAAAACTTGTGTTTATGTCAACCAAGCCCAGTATGGCGTTAAAATCTTTGACAATAGTACGCGCAGTTTTGTGTTAATTCCCTTATATGCTTGGAGATGTCAGATACATTCCAATTTATCACCTAGTACATATCAAACGACTTAGTTTATAGCTTGTAAGAATAACTTACGTTTGGACGGATTCATCTTAAGTGCTGTCTTCTGATCCTGCCGAAAGGAGACCACCTCACGAACGAGATTTTCCGAGTGTAATTGGATTTAACGTGCCACACGAAATATAACAAAAAATAGAACTCAATTTGTTCACAGTTCGATTCCTACTGAACTAAACCCAATTCACCTGCCGAAAGAATCGTTAATGACTTTTAAAATATATGCAAAACTAAACTACAACTAGAGACTCAGCGAATGATGACCACAGTAAGTTTATATATTGTCTACTCAACTGGATTGCGGTTGAACGCGACCTCCTGTAGAAAAACCAACCGGATTTTGTACAAAGCCGAGTTTGAGCACTCTGTCCCGCCGAGCTCGTTTTGAGAGCAACTTTAAATACGCGGTTTCTATCGTGGTTTTCTCTCGCAAAGCGGATGAGAACAATCTAGCAAATTCGACGAAGCACCTGTCAAAGTATCTTAGGTAACAATTGTTCGCATTAACAGAGTCCTTCAAGTCTCAATTCTTTGATTACAAAAAAGTGTTCTTACTGTATGCTTTGTCAGTGTATTCCCGTCGAATTTGAGCCCTCACGGAAGATGGATCTGTTTTGCCGATTTAAAACACAATTGCCAAAACCAAATTACAGAAACTCGAAAGGCATTAAATGAATATTGACGCAGATCGCCGATAGAAGTTTGCTCAATTAGCATGCAATTAAACCAGTGATGGTAAAATATTAATCTCCAAAATCAGCAGCTTTAAGTTGAAACAAAAATTTAATCCTCTTTCACTTAAACACTGCAAAGATACAAAGACGACCTAACGCGACCAAATAACCGGATGTAGTTCTGCAGACAAAATTTTCCTTCAAGGGACGACGGTTTTTCTAAGGAACGTTATCAATTCAATTGCCTTCAAAAAGCAAGTCACAAGAAGCAAAAAGATAAAAGATTTTATCATTGACTTGAAGTAGAGAGATTTTCAAAACAAACTTGACAAATGCATAAACAACATGAAAGTGTATCCATCGACTTCCCGGTGAGTGAAAACTGTCATTTTACAAACTTTTTCGACAGTCCAAGCATTATTTACAATTAACAAGACAAAACAAAGGTTTTTCGCAGCTGACAAAAGAAAAGTTTACTTAACAACTGAATGAACGTACATGCAACTGTGTGGGCACAAAAATCATACGCACGATAAACCTGAATTATGGAGTATTTGATTCCAAACTTGAAAGCAATTGACATTAAATTAAAATAAACAGAAATGCAATGGTTTTACTCGAGTAAATATAGTTCTAAAATAAATTACCACCTTGAGTTATACTACGCGGGAAACTAATTACAGCCTGGGCTCTACCCGAGACAAATGAATAATTAAGTATGTAATGCCGTCGGGTAAATGTACTTCTGTTGCTTCCTGAATTTATTCCCTATATCTTCACGGCATGTGTAAGTCACCGAATCTTCCCACAAGGGCGCCATGGAGAAGCCGAAAAAACAAAACAAAACAATGTCAAAAACGTTAATTCATGCTTTCCGTTCTGCCACAAAATTCGCAGTTTTGCCAATAGTAATTTCCGTAGGAGCGATATTTTTCAAAAGACAGAGCAACAAAACATTGAACTCAAAGTTAAAATCGTTTTCGGCAAATTCTCGTTAAGGCGCTCGTTTAACTTCGGCACAACATTCAATCACACGACAACGCGAAAGCGCGAGATTACGAAAGTTGTCGTTTTAAGAGCAGATTTTTTATAGCACCTCTGCTTACGCTGTAGGTTTAAGCCATTGGTTCGATAATGGTTTCTCCTTACGGTCCCTTTTCGGCAGCTGCTTAAGGAAAAGCTCTTAAAAAAAAACCCGACGTTGGCTCGACAATATTTGGTCTACTCGAAGTAGACTTCAAAGTATTCCGTAATAACTTCAAGTTTCAAAGACAAAACTATTGGGATATTTAGAAATAATTGTCTTGTCTATAATTTCCTAATGAATCATAATAAAGAACATGCACTGCTGCATTATAAATTTAAATTTCCACTGCACCTGTAACCAAATTGAAAAAAATTTTGAAATATTGAACTACGTCGGAAACAGAACAGAAGACTCTTAAATTTTAAATGTGTTGCTCCATGCAACAATGCTACAATGGAGTGACGAAATTCAAAATCCAAGTTATTTTCTTCTATCTCTTTCCGGGTACAATTCAGTGTAGAGAATGAAGCAATCTTGGGAATTAAGCTGCGCACAACCTTTTATGTCCAGACACAACACCTTAACAACAGTTTTAAATGTAACAAAGTACGATTATCTTGGTTGCCAGCCAATCGGAGAAGAGTATCTTGCACATGTGACCAGAATAGACTAATCAACTTCGAGTACGACAACCAAGGTATCCGACCTCTTTCATACTTTAAGCTGATTGGTCCTTTCTATCTTGTCCCCAAAATACTCTTCTCTGATTGGCTAGCTGCCTATAAGAGCGCTTTACAGTACTTTGCGCTAAAATGGTGCCTTACTTGTCCTCTTTCATTAGGGTCTGCACCATAGTCCAGCAGCTCCCTTACAATGTCTGCATGTCCCTTATATGAGGCCCATACCAAAGGAGACCACCCGCCCTAAAATGGAGAATATTCTATTAGTCATGGAATTGTGACAGAAGTGTAAAGTACGGTAAGCTGTTCATACACGCCTGATTTGCTCAGCTGTCAATTTATACTCCTGGGTGGCAAAAGGCAATTAGAGACTAAATTCCCTTGCCTAGAATCAAAACAATGATCTTGTTCACTCATCATTTTATGATTCAGATATGCTGCACTTACTAAGTCTGGTAACTGGACTTTTGCTCCATTTTCCATAAGTTCTTTAACAACCTCGTAATGTCCCTCTTTGCAAGCTGCAATAAGGGCTGTCCAACCATCCTAAGATATGGGGAAACTTAATTCTGTAGTTCAAGATTTTTTTTGACCAATTTAATTGACAGCATCAATGCTTTTTAGTGATTAATTAATGATCAAACTATTGATTGAAATAATTATTATTATTATATTATTATTATCATTTTTATCATATAATAATTAATTACAAAGTAATGTGGATGCTCTAATATGCTCTAAGGGAGCTTCTCAATTTCCAGGACATTTAGACAGGGGGTTCTTATTGTAGAACAGAGGCTGGGGGGGTGGACCTGTAAGAGATGTATTTGTTATCTGAGTTCTTGCCCATGTTTATCAAATACTGAACAACAAAGTACTAATTTCTTTGCTTAAAAAACAGACATTTAAAACCGTACAGACTTACAACTTCAAGTTTAGTCCTGCAACACTACCTAATATTAGTAGGGGGTTCACTAAAGAAGAGGGAGGGTCATACCAGAAAATTGAAGTTCTAGGCAGGAAGCCAATTAGATAAGGAGACTGGGGGGAGGTGAGGTTCAAAAGAAAGAGGGGCATTTAAGAGAGAGTCCTTCAATGACAGTAATCATAAACTATTCAAATTAATATAACAAATAAGTTCATCTACCAACTGGTGTAGCAGATCTCACCTCATCTTGTATATTGACTTGAACATTCCTCTTTAACAATTCATGAACAATTTCAACATTTCCTTTTTCAGCTGCAATAATCAGAGCTGTCTGGCCATTCTATTTGAAAATATTAATTGGAATAATATTTTATCCACTGGTATAGGAACAATTGCATGTATAAATGATTAGTTCAAGTGATTTACATAGTTACACACCTAGTTTTATATTCCTTAAATATACAAATTCACTTTCATTTCCACATTATATATTTATACAATTTTTTTTCTGACACAAAAAAAAACAATTCATGAACAATTTCAATCTTCTTTTTTATTAAATAAGAACATGTAGCTATTAGTTTGTTTTGCTACTCTTTTCAGTCTTTAAAATTCCATGACCTAGCTCTTATGATCTTTTCCAGTACTTTTTTTTATGCATGCCATACCACTGAGAGGTAGGCTTTAAACTATTGACAAAAAATGATCATTCATTCAAGGTATTTTGCACTTTGCTTTTCTCAGGAAAAAAAACGACTGAAAAATTTTTTTGCCCATTTCCCATCATTTCTATTAATTATCAAGAGTCAATTTGGCTTTCAAGACCTATCCAAACCCTGTTTTTTTTTGGTTTGCTAGCATCCTTAAATATTTGTTTGTTTTCTAACATTTCTGACCTCATCTTTCTGCTCCAAATCCACTCCTCCACCATGCAAAAGATTTAGCACATGAGTACAGCTTCCATCCCTGACAGCATTGAGAAATCCACCATCATTAACTGTCATTTCCTAAAACAAAAGAATATCACTCGGTTGCAACACAAGTTTTACATCATGAACAATGCAAGAGATTACATTTCACTTACAAACAAAGAATTGACAATAATTCTATAAATGAAAAACAAAAAAAACAAAAATAAAGAAACAGAAAAACCAGAGAGATTTGAAATCTTTGCTATAAGTTGATACTGCAGACAACATTCCTTGTAAGGACTTCTTTCAACTGAAAATTCAGTTTACACAATGTTCAAAGTGTTACTCCCAAGTCAAACCATTTACTAGTAGTCAGGCTATTTACTGTTACAGGATCAATCTTAAACCATTCTTGAGTGCATTCCTCCTTTTTTACAACAAAAGCAATCTCTCCTCAAAGCTCACAACTACATACAAATTATACTTCCACACAGAATATACCAGCTTGTAAAATCACTACTAGAATTAAGAATAGCACAGTTACCTTTTTCACAAAAAGTAAACAGTGAACAACTACATATGAGTTAAACTACATTATTCAAATGTAGTTGTTGACTTTTTACCCTTTAATTCAGGCTGATCGATGCTTGTGGTCTTGAAAACTCCTAACATAAAACTTCTAATATTTCTGATCAAATCAGAGGTACAAACAAAAAACACTGTATACCCCTAACTCAAAAACGGTATCTCCAACTTTTTATAATTCAGTTTCCAAATATTTTTTTTGCGAACTTTACATAGATTCCAAGAGAACATTCTTAGAAGCCTTCAAAAAGTAACTGTTTTGAATACCCCATCAAACTTTCATGTCAGTTTTTATATTTAGTGGAGTTCAACATTTTACCTTTAGTTAACTCCCAAGATTTGCTTAGTAATTCTCTGTTCTACCAGTTACACATTCCCTTGTAAATCAGTGGAGAGATTTTGGTGTTTCATCAAAATAAGACAAAATGTAACGGATATATGGGCTGGTCCGAGATTCCTATCAACTGTTTCCATGTGGTGTATCTGCAGTTGATGTTTTAGAAGACCACTCAAAAAACATTTTATCTTTTTAATCTTTCACATCAATTCTGTATTGTTAGCATGCTTCTTAGTACCAACAATAACAGTTTAGGGAAAAATTTATCTATACTGTCTAACGGTAGTCTCCTGACACTCAAGTAAAGATCATTTACATTTGTTCCTATTGGCTGCTGTTCAAAGAAGATATTTCATTTAGCAGGCAATTAAACAGAGCAAAGAGCAGAAAAGCATGTATACAGTGTGTCCACCATAAAAATCAGAGAATTGTTTCACAACCATTTAAAAGACACAGAACAATTAATTGAAACGTTTAAATATATTTATGCAGATTAAATATTTGGGAAAAATATTCCAAAGCAACACAGATTTCTACAGGCACAACAAAATGTAACTGAGTTATATAGATTGAAGTAAAAATTTGAACTCTTCAAAACTAACTTGGATGATGTGAAATGTATACAAAGTCACATTAGAAGAAGACATGATCACTCAGTCTGCCATCGCCACAAATATGTTCATGTACATGTCAGCATGTACAGGCCAGTAAGCTTGTTTTGACCAAATAATTCACTTTTTCTATAGTCCCTGAATGATAAATACAGCTGACAGATTGAGAAAATCAAGACAGCAAATTAAATGGACAAGAAAATCAAATCACTGTACCTAATATGTTTTTCTCTTTTTGAGCACTGAAATACTGTCTAGTACATGTTAATTCCTTCCTTTTTCTGTTTTGAGACATTTATTATTCAGCTACTTTTAATCAATTAATGCATTGAAACTTGCTAAAAACCACTTTAGAAAAATCAAATGTGATCGTTGTTACATAAATAATACAATACATCAGTCTAGAAATATTCCAAGGCTGTGAGCAACATTCAAAACTGTTCACCTATGTTTTCAAATGATAAAAATCATTTGGGCCCAAAGAAAAATTTTTAAGAATAAATATCTTGGGCAATTCACAATAGCCTAGGATATGTTTGACAATTCTATCAAAAACTGCACACTACATCAGAATAAAAATCAAATAGACTTGTGATTTTCTTGAAAGCATTATTAAAATTGCACGACTTTCAACTCCAAAGTTGTATTTATCTGATTCTGATTTTATGAGCTGCAAATAGTTTTATCTGATTTATTCAAGATTATAATGAGTGTTTTGAATTTATTACAAAGACATGCAGACCTACTTTGTATCTCATGCTGAGAATTGTTTTTGAATTCATAAGCCTTATCCCAAAGAGATAAATCTAACAAAAAAATTCAATGTGAATTCAAGTTTTCTTAGGATTTAAAACCATTTTTGAACCTTTTATGGAACATTTACAGAGTTCACAATTATTGCCCTCAATTCACCCTTCAATTACCATGTGCAGTCAAAATGTCTAACTTCATGGAAATTATTGCCCCCATTTGAATTTATTCATTAAGAAACCAGAAAGTCATGACATTTCATTACAATAAGAAGGAAAACTTACCAAGGGCAACGAACTATCGTGTGATAATAAATTTATTTGTCGTTGAAGTAAATTCTATGACAGATTGTGAATGGACATTTGCCTTCTGTGTGCAAAAACTGTGCAGATAACAGAGTACCCTTCACAAATCTATTTCATATTCCATCTACATAATTATAAAGATTAACCATGAAGATATTGTCATTTTGGAAGCTTTTTTTGAGCCAAAGAAAAAAACCAATTTTTAATAATATAAATTGTAATTTTAGCCCTTAAATCATTTAACATGAAAGTATAATTTGAGCTTTTTAAATGCATACCTCAGAAAACATTTCTATTATTTCATTGTCATTGTCACAATCACCATCATTACCATTGCTATATTATAAATACTGGTATTAAATAAATTAAAACTTTTATTTCAGTGTCAGAATAAAAGCATTCCCACACAAGTAACGGCACTTTAAATTATGCCTATATTGTCTACCCATGTTGCCTATATTGTCTACCCATATGCCTATATTGTCTACCCATATGCCTATATTGTCTACCCATC